AGAGGAGTTGGAAAACCCTGACTCCAAACTAGTAGTTCACATGAGCTCCAGGATCCTGAGGGAGCAAATAACGTATGAATCAATCGTCGGTCACCGGCTACAATGGGACTCTATCTCCTGACGTTGCTCTACTGCCTTGTGGATTACACCTGTGGGTCAAAGGCTCGGGGTATGACCCCCTAAGAAAACCACCTGCTTCGGTCTGGGCACCCAGTAGCATCCCAAACCTCACATAAATTGAATGATTTTTGTGACGCATATCTGTTTGGTGCCTTCTTGTACCTATGCCTATATGTTTAAATAAATAAATCTGAGGCGGGTGGGACAAGTATTACATATGCTCAACCCTAGCCTACACCGGTCCGTTGTTTTCTAATGTAGGAGTTTGTGAAAAAGCTAAGTGGAGTCATATTAAGACGTTTTATAAGTCAATCAAGCCTTTGATTGTTGGACTGAGCCATGTAGGTAGGTTCATATGGGGTCCACGAGACTAGTGTAACTAACAGTTGGAGACTGGGTGCCATGGCTCGAAATCATTTGCAACGACGTAGGTGTGTGAAACCTGAAATTTTACACCATTTTCCCCACACCTAATCTGTTTTACTAATTCGGATGCAGTTACTATTTTTACTACCCTAGGATTCGTCTCAGTATTTATTTATTTGAACACATAAATATTGGTACAGGAGGGCACCAAATATGTATGCGCTACACAAAACAATGAGAATTGGAAGAGAAAAAACAATAACGAACAGATTAGTGTAAGGTAGTGTAATAACAATAACAATAGTAATAATGAGGGAAAAGGAAAGGTACGATCAGAAGAAACCTTCCAGTTAAGGAAGAAACAATCATTTTTTATGAAGTAAAAGGTTACAGCAGGATCGCTACTACCTTCTATTCTGAGCCATATCTGATAACGTCTCTAGCCACTGTGTAGCACCATCTCTCAGACCCCAACCAGGGGTCGTGAAGGACCAACAGAAGCCAGTCCTTTGCAGCTTTCTTTCATACCACGACATCATGTCACACACTGATTCGTCTCAGTAATATTACTACACTGTGATAGTGTGGTTTAGCACTTTAGCCGACATGTATAAAGTTCTACGTTGCACAATTGACTAGCAGTATATCGGCAAATCTAACCGCTTAACTAGATCAATATCCTTACAGACCTCAGAGGTTAATTCGTTTAGGGCTGCTTCCCTTCCTCAATCTAGATTGATTCAGTCAGCCTTTCGACCTCGCTAAAAGTTGGAGGACTTGCGTCAACTATTCATTCCAGTTTTCTGGTTAGTGGGCAAATTAAGGAAGCTGGAGATCAGTTGCATTGTCCTTTAAAATGCTCTGCACACAGGCATAATCACTAGGGCTAGATAAATAGTGGTCCCATCTATCCCGACATAGCCTCACCAACTAATTTTTTGGTATGTTTCTTTAATAGATCTGAAAGATCTGATATAACTTAACACCTCTGTCTTTTCTACCGCTTTTGGTTTTACTGATCGCCACTATTTTGGGCTGGTTTCGCTCCCTATCGTGGACTGAGTTCGATGGAATTAGTCTCTGATCACCTATCAATTTGATAACTACTACGGAAATGACTAGTTTTCCCAACCTCTCGATCTATGTTGCCTGTACATATCACTACTATGAGCCCCCTCAATGTTTCTTTGGGGCTAAAGAACCTCTTTATGTATAAAAATGATAGTTTACTAAGAATTTGAAATTTTGTGAGTTGGCCCAAGACCTAGTACATATTTTGACAACGTACTGTATTCTCTACAATACGTCACTGATATAGGCATGTTACGTAGATTGATAAAGTAGAATGCAAGCAATGGATTAAATATTAGTTACAAAAATACAAATGGTTTGGAAAATAGTCGCTGTTTCCAAGCAATCTGCCACCAACAGGTTTTAACTGAAATCCATCAACCAAAAACGCACGGTGAAATAACAAATATTTGTCCACGATGAGTCGTATTTGGTGTTCTGCGTGCAGTTCTATAAGAATATTGACCTTTTCTGATGTTTAACGAATATAACCTAACATATGTGCAGACAAACAGACTGCTATTGAAGCGGGAAAATCTTGGCATTGCTGGACCTCCATTAAAATGGAATTAGGGTTTCCTGGTGGGTCGTAGACAGAAATTATGAGTAAATTTCAAGTACTACATCTGGAGACCAGTACTAAGTAGGGTACCGCAGTCCTGTCCCAGGTTCTTTACTTTTTATACTGTAAATGTAAATGAACATCCACGTATAACTGAATCCCAAATTTGAGTAAACGCTGATGTAAAAATCTCGCGAGAAACAACGTGAGACGCGGATGCATGCGCACTTTAGGTAGACCTAAATATCCTGACTAGCTGGTCTGAAAAATGTCTGATGTCTGTAGACGTGACCAAGTGTGCCTGATACAGCAGAGAGTGGGGAAGTCCGCTCTCCCCATCGAAATGCTCTCACATAGCCACGCGTATACAGCCACTGTCAGGGAACCCTGCTCATAGCTTTCTCGAGGCCGGAGTGTTGTTTACGAAATTGAGAGGACGAAAAGCGAATATCCGGCCCTTTAACTGGGTCGGTAGATATAGAAGATCCACATAGGGGAGTTGGAAAACTCTGACTCCAAACCAATGGTATACATGGGCTCTAGGATTCTGGGCGAACAAATGGCGTATAAACCTATTGTTGGCCACTGGCTACCATGGGATTCCATCTCCTAATGTTGTTCCACTGTCTTATAGATTACAGCTGCACTATCTCTAGGACCACAACCAGTGGGTCGTGATGGATTGATAGGTGCCAGTATTCTAGTTTCCTTTCATACTACGACTCTGCGTTATAAACTACCCACTTCGACTTTTTCAACTAGTCCGAGCGTTGGCAAACAAACCACGATATAGAAGCCGCTGGGATGGCACTCGTGAAACGTTCAGGTCATCAAAGCCGGTGTCTTAAGATGGTGACACCAACTGAGTTGTCGTATTACTGAACCTTATCATGGCTAACATGGTGTTGCCACTGAATGTCAGTCATTCTTTGGAGACAACGATGATTGAACTCAGAGAGTCACCGGACATTCTAAATCCAAAGGCCAGGTGTTAGCGGGATATAGGTTGGGTCAAAGCATGTTCCGTGCAGGATTGTGTTGGAGCACGCTGATTGCCCATTTCTTAGTCAACACTCTAGAATATTCTCGTCCGAAATTATAAACATACTAACGTTTTTCCTATTTTGATTCTTACTCCCATTCTACCTTGTTTATTTGGAATATAACTAAGTTCCTATTCAACTGTATCTTGATTTAGGGACTTGTAGAATGAAGTGGTGTCTGGAGAATACTAAGCGACAACAGTAGCTGGGTCGTAATAAGAGATCATAACTCCAGGTTTCACAACGATAGAGTAGAACTACTCTCACAGACGTGTCGTAAACTCAATGTTTCATAGTCACACTAACATCATGGCAGTACCAAAGGTGACCAAGATTGGCATAAACCAGACTGACTTTTCACTATGCGTAGATTAATTTCATCTGTTAAACCACCACCATTACTCACACAACTACCCAAATTTATGAACATCTCAACTACTTCTAACGGATCATCACAGACAGTAAGTAACAATCCAGGCTTCGGTCAGCCTTGTAAAAGTAGTTTGCACGTTCTAAGTGTACATGTTCATGCCAGATCAACGGAGAATATTTGCCAATTGATTAACTGAGGATTGTATAACTTGATTATCATAGCGCCCCCTCCCAAATGCCCTGATACGGCCGTGGGTGAGGTAAGTCAGTTCGCCCCATCGAAATGCTCTCACATAGCCACGCGTATACAGCCACTGTCAGGGAACCCTGCTCATAGCTTTCTCGAGGCCGGAGTGTTGTTTACGAAATTGAGAGGACGAAAAGCGAATATCCGGCCCTTTAACTGGGTCGGTAGATATAGAAGATCCACATAGGGGAGTTGGAAAACTCTGACTCCAAACCAATGGTATACATGGGCTCTAGGATTCTGGGCGAACAAATGGCGTATAAACCTATTGTTGGCCACTGGCTACCATGGGATTCCATCTCCTAATGTTGTTCCACTGTCTTATAGATTACAGCTGCAGGTCAAAGGCTCGGAATGTGACCCCTAAAAAACCATCTGCTTTGGTCTAGGCACCCGGGCAGTGTCAAAGCTCACACAAAAATCAAGTGACTTGTGTGGCGCATATGCAATCGGTTTCCCTTTGTACCAATATTATGTTTAAATAAGTAAATAGTGGGGATACGAAGATAAATATGTACAACATAGCATAAGTACCTGTACTCGTGCCCCGATCTCACAAGGATCTTGGGGTGACAGCGAGTCATGATTTTAAGACCACAGTTTACTATCGGGAGGTCGCAGCTAAGGGGTTTAGAACCTTATGGGTTTTAAGGTGGACATTCACCAAGTTTGAGACTACCATGTTTACTACAACATACACAACCTTAATGAAAACTAAGCTTTGAAACAGCGTCCAGGTTGCAAGTCTCTGTTTAGGTGACCCGAATGTTCTGGGAAAAGTACAGCGGACAGATACTCGTACAATTCCAGTACTCTAGGTTTGCCATACAATGAACGAATTGGAAAGCTAGAAATCTTTGCTGTCTAATCGCAGATTAAGTTATCTGATTTTGATCCCAATATATCCTCTTTTCCTTTCACTAGATCTGGACATCTTGGATGAAATAGGCGAGTAGAAAAACCAAGAACGAACAAAATACCTGTGGCATACAAGTCATCAATTCTTGAAACCTGTTACCCGAGGAATTGGTGAGCACACCTTTTATTGACTGATTCAAGAGGAGCTAAGACACTTACAGAAGCATACTAGAAAAAGAATAACAAAGGCCGTAAGCCTTCCGTCATTACTACACAAATCTGTCTACTATTAAGACTGTCTCTATGGCCATGTAGTCAAGAATCATAGACAAACTACAACACGGGAACCACAATAACTTACCGGATGATGAATTCGGTCTCCTATCTGTGACCAAGCCATCAGAAGGATAAAAAACATCTGTAAAACACTAAAGTGCGCCTAACATTTGAAAAGAAGCCATAGGCGAACTTGAGACGCACTAAAACAATCTTTCATTACCTTACTCAATCTCCATCGCATTAGATATCGTCACAAAATGTGACATATTTAAAGGTGTTCTGAACTGATTTACAAAAATATGAGGGATAAGGACAAATCTTACGCTCGACAGGCTTACATATTTAGCACCAATCGATAATGCATCAATGTATAAATGTAAGTGGATGAAAATGCAGAGTGATACTGAATAAACATTTATTCTTTAATTTATGAGTTGCAATGTCTTCTAAACATCTGGTAAACGTGTGAATTCATTTGTGGTGGTTATCCCGGAAGAAACTCCGCCTGTAGAATTCCTAGAGATACTGCCGGTTCCACTTCCGTAAAAAAACAACCTTGCTAACAACACACCAACCAGGACAAATAAGCTAAACCACTTGAACTCTATGATCCGAGTTCAGCGATATTCATTCAGAACAATTATGATGTCTCAGGGCGAAAATCAAAAATCTCCGGGAGTCACGAGATCGATTTCGTTTCTTATAACCACAACAATATTTATAGGTACATGGAACATACGGACAATGTGGGAGACCAAGAAGACCAGTTGAATAGCTGTGGAAATCAGGAGACAACTTGACAGTACTAGGAATCAGCGAAACCCACTGGACCCAATCTGGACAACAAAGGCTAAATATGGGAGAGATGCTGCTCTACTCCGGACACGAAGAGGAAAATACTCCACACACTCATGAAGTTGCTCTGATACTGTCCAAACAAGCACGAAATGCACTTATTGGATGGGAATCTAACGGATACAGAATCATCAAAGCATCATTCACAACAAAGGAGGGAATCACGATAAACGTTTTGCAGAGCTCTGAACTCACTACCGATAGCAACGACGGTAATAAGGATCAGTTCCATGAGAGGTTGCAATCAATCATAGAGAAGTGCCAAGGAAATGAACTGACTATCCTGATGGAAGCCGCGGAAGCTAAAGTCGGAACGGAAAACATTGGATATGAGGATATCATGGGACGACATGGACTGATTAGGAGGAACGAACGGAAACGGGGCGAGATTTGCGAGTCTATGTGCATTAAACAAATTAGTTAAAGGCGGCACAGCATTCCCACACAGACAAATACACAAAACTACATGGGTCTCACTGGACCACAACACGGAGAACCAGATAGATCATATTTGCATCACTAACTAATTCAAAAGGTCAATGTAAGACGTGAGAACCTGGAAAGAAGCTAACATAGCTTCAGATAACCATCTGGTTGTAGTCAAGATAAAACTGAAGCTAAAGAAACACTAGTCAGATGGCGAAACAGCAGTACAAAGGTTCAATACAACCTTTTTACGAGATACTTACAAACCCAACGAATTCAAGATAGCACTCAACAACAGGCTACAAGCTTTACAGGATCTACTCAAAGAAGATGAAACTACTATGACGAACAACGGGATCGGAATCAAAGAGGCGCCAACTTCAACAAAACAGAAGGTTCTAGGTCGCATCATCATAACGAATGGATCTCTACGGAAACTCCAGACAACATTCAAGGAATGAAAAACAAGAAGACAGCAATTAACAACAGCCATACAAGGACAGAGAAATTCTAGGCACAAGCTGAATTCACAGAAGTAAACAAGCAAGTGAAGAAGAGCATTAAGGCCGACAAGCAGAAATACGTGGAACATCTAGCAATGACGGTGGAAAAAGCTGCAACAGAATGAAGTATGGGGCAATTATATGACACAACGAAGAAACTATCAGAGAAACACCCTCCAAAGACAAAGAAGGTGTGACAATCACTGAGATTCAAGAACATAGAAACAGATAGGTAGAGCACATTGATCAACTCCTGAATAGACCAGTGCCACTGAACTCATCGGACATCGAAGTAGCACACACAAACGTTCCTGTAAATGTCACTCTACCAACGATCGAAGAAATAAGCATAACCGTCAGACAAGTCGAGAGCGCGAAAGCAGCAGAACCAGACAATATACCAGCGGAAGCACATAAGTCAGAAATAGAAGTAACTGCAAACATTCCCCACATTCTATTCAGGAAGATTTGGGAGGAAGAACAAGTGCCACAGACAGACTGGAAAAAATGACACTTCGTCAAGATTACAATGAAAGAATATCTGAACAAGCGTGACAACTACAGAGGCATCACACTATAGACAATACCAGGAAATGTTTTCAACAGCCTTAATCAATCGGATGAAGGACACGGTAGACGCACATTTTCGAAATCAACATACCACATTCCGTAAGGATCGGTCGTGAAAAAACCAAATTGTGGCAATAGGGATCATCTTTGAACAATCAATTGAATGGAATTCGTCAACATACATCAACTTCATTGACTATGAGAAAATATTTGACAAGGTGGATAGGAGAACCCTATGGAACCTTCTTCGACATTATGGTGCCAGTAGCTGAGAAAATCGTCAACACCATCTGGAATTCATATGACCGACTACAATGCAAAGTCGTGCATGTAGGACGGCTGACAGACGCATTCCAAGTGAGAGCCGGAGTCAAGCACGGTTGCTTACTCTCTCTCACCTTCCTCTTCCTTATGGTGGTTGACTGGACTACGAAGACCTCCACATCTGATGGGAAGCACGAAATACAATGGACAGCTCGGAATCAACTAGACGACTTGGACTTCACAGATCTCCTAGTCCTTCTATCCCATACACACGAACAAATGCAGATCAATACGATAAGTGTAGCAGCGGTCTCTTCTGCAGTAGACTTCAACATACACATGGGAAACACCAGAAACCTCAAATACAACACAGAAAACACCGAACAAACCAATCACGCTTGATGGAGAAACTCTGCAACAGGTGGAAACTTTCACGTACCTCACTGGTCAGCATCATCGATGAACATGGAGGATCTGATGCAGACATCAAGGCAAGGATTGGCAAAGCAACAACAGCATTCCCACAGTTGAACAACATATGGGACTCAAAACATCTGTCTCTCAACCAATATCAAAGTTACAATCTTCAATACGAACGTCAAGACAGCTCTACTGTACCGAACTGAAACTTAGAGAACTACCACAACCACAAGTATTTATAAACGATTGTCTACGTAAGATATTCAATGTCCGTTGGTCGGATACCAGCAAAAGCAACCTACTGTGAGAGAGAACAAACCAGCTTCCATCTGAAGAGGAAATGACCGAAGGACCATAGAAGTGGATAGGACAAACATTACGAAAACCAACAAACTGCATCACGAAGCAAGCGTTAACTTGGAATCGTGAAGAGAAGTGGAAAGGATGAAGCCCAAAGAACATACTGTTTCGGGAATCGGAAGCACACATTAAAAGGATGAGTAGCAACTGGAAAGAACTGGGAAGGATTGCCCAGGACAGGGTTGAATGGAGAGTGCTGGTGGGCGGCCTATGCTCTTCGACGAGTGGTAACAGGCGCAGTTAAGTAGTCCTGGGGGGAAATTGTAGGTAACGTTCATTGAATAACAGTTTTTATTATTCATTGTTACTCATTTCAATAATAATAATATATATATATATATATATATATATATATATTTCTGCATGCGCAGGTACACACCATTTTTAAAGGCATGATCTCTAAATCAGAACACTTGTTGTTTCGCAAAATGCTTCGCAACTTATTAAGTTTATAGTTGTTATAAAGTATACTCGTAGGGCGCTTGCTGTAAACCGTGACCTTACGGAGACACGTACGTCAAGTTTGTTCCAGATGTCAGAAGTTTCATAGCTGCACCGTCAGAGCAAATTTCTGAAGAAGAAGAAGAAAAAGAAACAGAAGAGCAGAAAGACACTTGGATATGAACGCCAAACGTTGCTTAACATTGTGTAGTAAAACGGAGAGAGGTATAATAAATTAGAATAAATTCATATTATATCTTGTTAGAGTGAAATGAAGTCGGAGGCTCCACATAACAGAATGTAGTAATAAAGAACGATGAGTTGTGAAGTTTAACGATTTGGAGTAAGCTCACATGGAGGAAGGAAAGTCAAGGTTGGTACAAGGAAAGCGGTTTATTAGAAGGGAGTGTGTATATAGAGGGTGAAATGTTAAGAACACTAATGACTATATCTTTTGTTGTCTAACTTTTTTTCTTTTTTTTGCTTATCCGATGCCAGCCACACAATCCTAGTGTAAAAGTCCAAGTTGGCATGTTATAGATTGTCTTAATAGAATAGCTAATCCAGCATACTATTGGAAACGTGAGTCCGGGTGGTGAGCGTAGGAAAACAATCTATATCACAGATTGATTGACTTATTCTCAATCATAAAGAGCCTGATACATACAAAATGTTCTGCCCCCAAAAACACGGGTGGATTAAAGTTATCGCCCTCACCATCAATGCTTGCTGGTCAGTAACTCCACCCTCCCTCCTTTTGTGATGTTAGGCTCATTTAGGCTTATTTTTGTATATACGTCATACGTCACACAATCCTGTTTCACAACTTGTTGGAAAGCACTATTTCTATAAGTACCATTTTACAAGCTTATCAGGCAGTTACAAGCTATGGACTGTGGGTAAGGCATCGATGCAGTGCCTCTGTTGACTATAGTATAAAGTATAGTTTGCCAATCAGAGTATAAGCATTAAGACGGGTATAATGTAGGATGGTTGTTTATTAAAGCAGGCGAAAAAGTATAGGAGTATATGAGTTGTAGATAAGGTCACGAGTGAAGAAATAATATTAATTGCTAGTCAACATAGTGTGCAGAAGAGTAAGAAGTTATTAAAGGATAAACAGGTAGAAACTCACAGTAACTTGGTGCTGATGTTATTTTTTGTTGTCCTAACCAGTTGATTGGAAACAGGCTTCATAGATGCAAGACCACTGGTAGTAGGCAATCGATTGTGCGGTCCTCTTGACTTTCTGAGAGTGGTAGTGAGTGTCCCTTAGCGACCGATCGGTAAAGAAGCCTGCAGCTTATTAA